TACCAGGTGCTTAAAAAATACCACTTCTCCCTTTTTCTTTCTGTGTCCTGTGCCCTGCAGGCCAACACTGAGCAGGAGAACTCTGTGCCGTGGTGGGAGTGGTCTCCGTGTCCGACACTGGCCACTGGCTATCCACAGGCACTTGAAACGTGGCCAGTATAACTGAGGAACTGGGTTGTTCGTTTTAATTAATTTACACTTAAACAGCCACGTGTGACCAGCCGCTGCCTTCCTGAGCACGCAGCGGTTGTAGACTAGGGAAGACATTCACAATCAGTAGCAGTCCTCCAGATTCATGAAGAGTTGGAAGGCCCAGAGAGGAACACCGATGGGCCCAAGGTCACACAGCACTGTAGCAGTTCCCCTGAGGCACAAGCCCAGATCTTCTAACTACAGTGTCTTCACTAGAGGGGAAGGGGAGTTGTGGGCCCTGTGGCCCACACACAGGATGCTCACTGCCGGGCACGTGTAAGCGTTTTACACGTCTGTCTCCTTTATTCTCTTCACCCCCATTTTACAGGGGAGGGGAAGTGCCCGCCCGCAGTCTCAGAGCCCACACACAGGCTGCGGTCTTGTGAGTCTCTCTGTGATTGCCGTCCCCGGGTTGTCCCGAATCTCTGCCTCTGGAAGGACCCAGGGTGTGCAAGATCTGCGCTTACACACCCAGCCAGGGCAGGTGCAGTTAGTAAGCTCGGACAAGCCTCTCTGTCTCTCCATAAAGTTGTTTTTCCAGCCTGGTCTCCTAAGACTTGGCTCCTGCAGGTGCTGCACCTCCCGCCCCGCCCTCCTGCTGCTTCGGGGCCTGACGCGAGGGGCAGGGCCCAGGTGTCAGGTACACCTGTTAGAAAGGTGAGCGCAGGAGAAAGCCGCCTTTGCCACAGTTAGCCAAGGACGGGGGCACCCGACCCCATCTTGCGCTCTGCTCTCATCATAATGCTGGGGTGCAGAGAAGGCTGTGCCAGATTCTTCTTTGCCTTTACCACCTCCCTCTCCTCTTCTGAGGTGCTCTGGCAAAGAAAGCCCTTTCTCGTGACTGTCCCGTATCACTGTGCCAGAATCCCCGTGGGATGGGAGTAGCGTTGCTGCATAAAACACAGCACGCCCGGTTACATTTGAATTTCAGATAAGCAACGAATACATTTTAGTTTTATGTCCCGTGTAATATCTAGGACATGCTTATCCTAAAGAATATTTGCTTATCTGAAATTCACATTTAACTGTGCATCTCCGGGGGGGGGGGCGGGCGGCCTTTGCTTCTTTTTTTTTTCCTAACTCTGGCAGCCCTCAACAGGTGGCATGATCCCCATGTAGCGTATGTGATACCTGAGACCCAGAGAGCTGATGGGGCTCACTCACGTCACAGCCAGGCCCTGGCCGGGACTGGATTCGAAGTCGCATGTCTTGAAATTCTCTTCCGTCTGCGTAGACACAGTAGACAACCTTACTGGCTCCTTCAGGGCAGTTTAAGGAAGAGGCCAGAAGTCGCATCCCTAAACAAACAAACTTGTCTCCAGCTATACGATAATGGAAATAGAAGCGAGGATACATTGGCAGTCACTCATACCTTGTTGTGAAATAGACTTCTGGTGACAGTTGAGTGGGGACAGACCCTGGGGAGAATTGATGAAAGAGAGTGGATCAGTCTATTCTGGCTCCTAACAAAAATGCAATAGACTGAGCAGCTCGTAAACTACAGACTTGTGTTCCTTGAAGTTCTGGAGGCTGAAAGTCCGAGATCCAGGCACTGGCAGATTTCGTGTCTGGTGAAGGCCCTCTTCCCGGTTTATAGACAGCTGTCCTTGTGCTGTCTTCGTGTGATAGAAGGGGCAAGGAAGCTCTCTGGGGTCTTTTTTATCAGTGTGCTAATCCCACTCAACGAGGGCTCCCAGACCTCATCACCTCCCAGAGGCTGCACCTGCTAATACCATCACACATGAATTCGGCGGGGGGGGTGGACACAAACATTCAGTCTATGGCAGGGAGCAAGAATGACAATTCCAGAGTCTTCAGTACTGCTAGAGATGGCCAGGCAGGGCTGAGGTCACAGAGAGGTGGTCAGGATTAAGACCTTTTGTAATCTGACCCTGGCACAGCTCTGCAGGCTTCCTCACCTCATAGCCATTCATCCAGGGGCCTCTGGCTTTCTAGCCTCCTAGCCTTTGCTCTCACTCTTTCATCTGCTTACCACCCCCTGCATCTTGCAAGGCCCATTTCAAATGTCCTTGCGCCCCCAAGCCCATGTAGCCCTATCTCAGTGTTGTGCTTACTTGTATGTGCTGCTTTTACTCACCCGAGACTTCTTGAGGCCAAGAGTGTTCCCTTCTCCTTTCTGGACACCCTCCACTGGGCCTGCAGTGCAGGCAGCCTGCAAATGTTTGACTGGAGTGAGGGGGGCGAGTGGCCACAGTCAACCTCCTGCTTTCCGGTTTTGCTGAGAGACTCGGGCAGTGCCCAGCCTGTACGTGAGCCCCTCAATGTCAGAGCAGCTAGGCTCTCCCTTGCGGATGGCGTGCCTTCCCAGAGTGTGGCGTTGGGGTCCTTCGGCCCATGGTCACGTGGGGTCTGGGAGTGTGCCAGCCAGAAGACAGGACCTGTCTGCGACATTCACCCAAGGGTCCCCAGTGCCTGGAGGGGTGTCTGCCATGGGGCAAATGCCCATAAACACTTGGCTGGAGAGATGGGTTGAGGGAGTCAACTCAACTGTCCATGTGTCATCACACGCTGTTCAGGGCACCTCGGACCCCACAGCAAGTGGGACGGAACCGTGTAACCAGGCCTGCTTGCCGGGAGGTGCGCCCGCTGGGCACACGGATGCAGTAAACAGGTGGGCCTCCCACGGTCATAAGGGTTTTGCTCAGGTTGCCAGGTGGGGTCTGCTTTAGGTCTCTTGAGGGGGTAGCAGTGGTGCTGGGACCGACTGACAGGAAGGGCCCTGTGAGGAGGGGAGGAAGCTCCTTGCGGCCCGGAGGCAGGATGCGACTACACCTTCGGGGCGGAAAGGTGGCCTGAGGGAGGTCAGAGAGGGCCAGGGAGGCTGCTGCCTGGTGGCTCTGGGACTGTGGCCCGGGAGGGTTTTCAGCAGGGAGTGAGGTACCGAGCTTGGCATTTCAAGCAGGCCCTCGGGCGTCTGTGGGGAGACTGGAGGGGGGCGAAGGAGGCGCTGGGAGGGCAGGGACACCTCCCCTCGCACACATGGCACCTGAACCCAGGAGGCCTCAGAGAAGGTGATGAGAGGGGCACGAGGGACGGGTCATAGTCAAAGCTACCTTTTCGCAAGGCCTCTGGCGGTGGAGGGACCGCGAGTCCTTGAGGCCTTAGCTCTGCTTCCCCTTGGCCTGCCCCGCGCCCTGGACCTGGCTCTGCCTTGTCTTGAGGAGGGCAGGGCGGGGTGTTCTAGAACACCAGGCGCTGATAGAGCGTAAGGTGTGCAGGGAAGCGGTGCCACCACCTTACTGGTACTGAGCGCTTCCTGTGTACCTTGAGGACATCCTGGACCAGGACCGTCTGATGGCTTGTTGGAGCCTCACAGTCCAGTGAGGATTAGACCCCTTTGGGGGCATCTCAGGCTCGAAGGGGAAGGGACTTGCTCGCGGCCTCATGCCTGGTCAGCGAGGGAACCAAACCAGAGACCCAGTGTCTCTAAAGCTGTGGCACAGCCGTGATTCCCGCAGGCAAGGACTGCGCCCCAGCTCCCGTGGCAGGATGAGACGTGGCGGTTAGAGAAGGCCTCTCGGAGGACGTGGCGCGGGATGAAGGGCCCAGTGAGGAAGCAGCCACAGGAAGAACAAGGAAAGGGTGTTTGAGGTGGAGGGCACTGCGGGGGCAAAGGCCCTGAGGCTGGGAAGAGCTTGGCATGTTGCAAAGAGAGCGAGCGATGTGGCGGGAGGGAGAGAAATGCAGGAGTTCAGCGATGAAGCAGAGACCATGTTGTCGAGGGCCTGCTTCAACAAATAATTCAGAATCTCCTTTAACCAATGAGGTGAGCATCCTGACCACGAGTTTGCTCTCATAAAGGGTCCGGCAGAGGTATATCCGGGCTAATGAGGCTGCTTGACCTCCCACCTCCAGCACCTTCCACAGCTCGGTGTCTCTCATTGCTCAGCTGAGCAGACCTGGGTGCAGGCGTATCAGTTGGCCTGCAGGACTGAGCTGGCCTACAGACTCCCGGGGGCTGGGGAGAGATGGCGCATCTTCTGGGTACCTTCCCAAGACCCCCAGGCCCTAAGGGAGGCCGTATCCTCCTCAGCCTCCTCCCTGGGTCCTCATGAGTACAGGGTTGGGTTTAAGTGGCATGGAAAGCTCTGTCCATGGTGTCCCCATTGTTAGTGCTCACTTGACCCCATTCTCCTGGGTGTTCAGGTGTGGATGCCCAAGTCCTGTCTCTGCACGGTGCTGGGTTCCTCAACGCTCTGTGTTCCATATACATGTCGAGTGTGCCTTTTGGGGACTATTTCCTGAGTGTCATGCTGGGAGCTCGGGCTCTGGAGTTGGCCAAGTCTGGGTTCAAATCCCAGCTCTGCTACCCACCTCAACTTCTAATCTGTGAAATGGGGGTGATGGTGGTAGCTGCCTTAGGAGGTTTTTGCAGGATTAAATGAGGTAATGCATCTAAAGCCCAACTCGGCACGCTGCAGGCTTGTGGCTAGAACGCCGCCTGCTGTCAGCTCTTCGTGCTCACGCTTATTTCTGCCCATCGGAGGGAAGATGATGTCAGCCGTTGGAATGGACACCCTCGGTGCAGTGACAGCTGCAACAGAGCCCTGGAGAATGTGGTGGGGGTGCGGGTGGGGGGTCCCACCAGCCGTGCTCTGCAGACTGGAGGTGGGGCTCTTGGAATAAGGTCAGCGGCTTTGGGAGTTTTCTTCCCAGCACACACGTAGGAAAGGCCTTGAATGCAGAGCAAACAGGAAAAGCCAGAGCACCTTGGAGCAGTCCCCAGAAAAACTGAGCATGCAGGAGCCCACGTCCCCTTCCTCTAACCGTGTGCCCTTCTCCCCTAGTGCTCCTGCGGGAAGAAGTGTCTCGACTCCAGGAGGAAGTCCACCTTCTCCGCCAGATGAAGGAGATGTTGACGAAGGACCTGGAGGAGTCCCAGGGCGGCAAGTCCTCCGAGGTCCTCTCGGCCACCGAGCTCAGGGTCCAGCTGGCCCAGAAGGAGCAGGAGTTAGCCAGAGCCAAAGAAGCCTTGCAGGGTAAGTGACTGGTTGGTGGCACTTTCTTGCCTTCCCTTGCCTGGGGCTCAGGCTTGGGCCACAGGGGCACCACGAAACCAGGGTCCTGCCTCTGCAGGGGGAGTGCCATGGACGTGGGGGTCTCCCGGTGCCTAGACCCCGAGCTGAGGCCGCCCTGTCCCTTTTTCAGTAGAATTCTGCCTCTTGCAGTGTTGGAAGCTCCTGTCGTTCCCGCGTCCCTGTGACCAACACATTTCCCGTCATGGTCATGCAGGGTCGCCTCTCTCTGAGGCATGAATGGCAGGTGGCATCTCTGCTAAACCAGGCTGCTGACCCGACACTGTCAAGGTCCTTGAACGCCTCCCGTCACGGGACAGTGTGGAGGCGCTGAATTCTCTGCAGGAGGACACCTCCCTCCACCACACGCCACTCTTGTTCACTGTGGCGGTCTCCTGGGGCGGGGGGCTTGGGCCCCCTCTCCTGTGGTTGGCCTGGAGGAGCTCCCCTCTGGGAAGTGCAGTGTCCAGTGTCCCCTCCGGGAAGGCGGGGGAGGGAGCGGTACGGGTGCCCAGGTGCTCTCTCGCAGAGCTGGACCACTCGTAACCTCCACGGGGCCAGTGTGTCTGCTGCCAGAAGCTGCTGGAGGAAACACAACCAGTGGGCCCACGTGTGCAGCCGGCCTTCCTTAGAGCTGGCCTGGGCCACCGGCGGCCGACATACGCATCTCTCCTGGGAGCCACCTGCCTACATGCTTTGGGAGGGGTCTCAAAAGATGATTCAGGAAAGATTGGGGGAGTCTTCCTCTAACAGTGCTCAGAGAACTCTGACACAAAACATTCTCTTGAGGCCCCCTTACTGCCTTTGATACTCCTGGGGAAAAGAAAAAGGCAATAAAACTTGGCAACCTGCTTTCCACTTACGTTTCCTAGAATGATAAATACTCTGGAAGCTTCATTTTGGAAGCCAGAGCAGCTTTCTTATTTAGGTTGATTTCAGGCTGCTATCGGAAAGAGACTCCAGAACAGAGCGGTGGCTTAAAGAAGTTGTCTCTGTCTCCTGTCACCATCAGGAGGAGCATTTCAGGCTGGTGGGCATCTCTGCTATCCTCAGCCTGGGGAACATCCAGGGAAAGAGCCAAAATTGAGAGCCAAAGTTTCCCTTTGGCAAGAGCTTGGTGGTCGGGCCATGCCGGCCTGTGGGGAGAGCTGGGACATGGAGCTTCTCGCTAGGTGTCCTGGTCCAGCCACAAGGCACACTGTCCTGTTGGGGTTTTGTTTTCCAGTGGGGCCCACTCAGACAGCGGTGTCTTCAGGCTGGAGCGGGCGGGTGGGGCATGCTGTGGTCCAGCTGATGCTGTATGTTTGGGAGGTCACTGTGCTGAGCACGCACACGTTTCCTCTCCGTGCAACCGTCCAGGAGTCCAGGCAGATCTGTGCGAGCTTCCCAGCTTCCGGGGGCCTCCTGACATCCCCTCCTCCCTCGGGATGGAGACTCAAGCCGTGGGAATCTCCCCGAGGAAGTGCCGCCGGGCCCCAGGGCTGTGTGAGCTGATACCCTCTGGTCTCCCTAAGCTTTACGACCCCATGGAGAGTGGGAACTGCCTCAGAAGCAGTCTCAACCGCCTTTGCCAGTATTTATTCCAGGGACAGGGAAGCCTGCCTTCCATGTCCTTACCCAGGGAAAGAATCCTCACCCCCATTCGCCTCTCTGGACCTGGAAGGGGGAGCCGGACCTCTCTAAGCTGTTTCTGGGCCCAAAGGAATGGGCAGGGGGCTCAGCAGAAGCTCATTGACTCCACCACTCTCCAGCTCCTGGGACAAGCCGCCTACCCTCTCCACAACTCAGTTTCCTGGTCTGAGTGATGGGACAGTAGTGGTGAATTAAATGAGGTGATGTCCATGAGCGCAGAGAGCTGGCTGTTACGATGTGCGTCCTTCTCCCTTTGGTCCACAGGACACAGAACCGTGGAGGCCTATTTTCCTAGCTCTGTGCTGTGAGGTACCTTATCTGTCACCAAAGGTCACCCAGGGACACAGAGATCTGCCGGATAGGGTGGCTCCTCTGTAAACAGCAATCTCAACAATAAGGACCCATCAGTATTCATGGTAGGGGAGAGACGGGAGGCCATCCCAGCTCAGTCGTGGAGACAGCAGGCTCTGGAGCCAGACCTGGGCTTGAATCCCAGCTCTCCCACTTACGAGCGATGACCTCGGGCAAATTCCTTAACCTCTCTGAACTACGTAGTCCTCTTGCTGAGGGTAACAATAACAAAGCTGTTTCTCTTATAATTGGGGCTAATAACAGTAGCTACTTCAGAGGGTTGTCATCGGGATTAAATGAGATAGAAAGTGCTTGGCCCAGTGCCTAGTGCTATTAGTGCAAATACTTAGTGATTATCAGATGAGAGGGGGCTTGGCACACCTCCTCAGATCTGCCTGGAGATGTTGGTCTCCTGATTCCCATTAGGGGTGGCCCAGGCCTTAGACCCCTGGAGCCCATCCAAGCTCAAGGTAACAGTGCTCCCAAAAAGCAGTGGGCACCTTCAGCCGGCCGGAGTATACTGCCTGGTTTCTACAAAGTCATAAATAAGATGCTTCCTCCCAGCCACAGCACGTGGTGAGTAAATTGCAGACAGATGTGGGCAGAAGGAGGCTGGGGCATGAAAAGGGATTTATATGCCCATAATGAGGAGAATGAGAATAAATGTGCAAACCAAGTAAGCAGCAGATGTTGGGTGACACTTGTTAACAGCCGGCGTCCCTGCAGCAGGAAAATGCAAAGCCCCCGAAGACTCCCTCCCTGGCAGTTCCCTACCTACCCATCCCTGTCTTTGCTTTGAGGTTGGATGAGACCAGAATTTTCCACAATGGGAGAGGCTTAGGAACTCAGACAGACACCGGGGAGCATCAGCCCTGGGTTCCAATGTCAAAGCACAGACAAGAATCACGTTTGGGGAAACATCCTCGGTTTCTTTGGGGGTGAGTCTGGAATGTTAGGTTTTTTTAAGAGTTGGGTCTCGTCTCACATGTAAAGCCAGAAGTTTGGAAGGATTGTTCAAGAAAGAAAGGTGTCATGTGTGTTTAAGCGTAACGGAGCCCCCCTCCAGCCCTACACGTGGTGGGGAGCTTATAGCCCGTGGGTGCCCTCTGGGGAGTCTGTCGATTTCCTCAGCCCCCCTCAGTTCTCCTGATTCTCCCCGCGAATCAAGGCATTACAGAAACATGATCGTGAACATTTGCTTCTGCCCCTTTTTTAATGGCGTGACGAGTATGTTGAGCATTTTCTCACAATAAATGCTCTCTGAAAACATAATTTTTAATGACTACATAATGTGCTAGCAAATGGAGGCGCCCTAATTTATTTAGCCACTTTCTGATTATTGGACACTTAAGTTGTTTCCACTTTTTTCTTTCTTGGTTTTGCTGTTATATACCACTCCCCTAAAGATCTGTGTTTGTAAATCTGTTTATTTTTTTAAGACAGCATTTCTCCATCTGTCTGGTCTCTGGACCACTTTATACTCTTAAAAGATTGAGGACCCAAAGAGTTCTTGTTTATGTGGTTTAGTTCTCTAGGTATTTACTGTTCCAGAAATTAACACCAAAAACCAACTTAAATCCTCAATAATTTATTTTGAAACAACAGCAATAAACCCATTACACATTAACATAAATAAAAAAACTTTAATTAAAAATATTTTCCCAAACAAAAAGATTTGAGTGAGGAGAGCATTGTTTTACATATTTGCAAAAACTTTTCAATGTCTGACTTTACAGAAGACCGCTACATTCTCATATCTGCTCCTTCAGTCAGGCTACTGTGATTTGTCACTACTGGATATTTTTCTTTGTTGGCATCCTAAAACTCACCAAATGGTAGTCTCTTAGAGATTTGCTGCCGTGTGGTATCTCACACTTGATCCAGTGAGGGTTTTGTGCTCTGTTAACAGTGGACAAAGCCATTGGTCTCATTTGCACTTGGAATGGATACTATACCACACATGATTTTTCAGCATCTACCAGCGATCACTTGAGTGATGATGCATCACCTGAGTTAGGCTGATCTTCCCAATGATGACATACTTCCTGATCCGTGATCAAAAAGTCACATTTGTTAACATCACCACGCATCTCATCAGAAAAGTCTTTGAGTGTTGAGAAACTGTGAAGGTCATGGTGGCACATCAAGTCTGCTGGAATTCTCACTTTTGCTCAAAAGCTCAGATTTTATCTTTGACAACAGATATGATCAGTTGTTTTCTTAGAAGTAACAGGTTGGCTCACTTAGTTCATTTGTGGACTTAGTAGTTTGCCAGATAGCTTGGTTAATATTATTGGTCACTTGCTCTTTCAAGTACACATGGTATTCAGTGGAAAAAGTGGCTAGTTTAGCCTGCAACTCAAACAGTCATACAAATGTTTTTCCTCAAGACAGCCTCTGTTCTTTGGCATGCAGCAAAAGAGCTTTAAATGTACTTCCCTTTTTTTTTTTTAAGGACATGAACTCGGGGATCAAGCTTTAATAAAATTAATAATTTTTACTGCTGCACCAAAGACATTCATAAGTCAAACAGTGCCCCCCCCGTTTTTGTTTTTGTTTTTTTAAGAACAAGTGCATGGTGATAAGAACATAATGACTACTAATATCCACTCATGGTTTGATGCCTCTGCCATGATGTTTGCCAAGCATTTTCCCCAGCATTGCTTTTGTACCCACAGTGCAAATACATAGTAAAAAAGGCAAATAACGTCATAGTATCAATGAAAATAGCTTTCCTCATGGGTCCCCTGAAATGATATTGCTGATGGTGGTGGTGACAGCTAGCATTTCTGAACATCGTTTCTATGCCACATACTGCAGACCTTTTTAGCTCACTTAATCCTCTCAACAAGCCTGGGAGGCGGGCTATGAGTGTGCCAGGAGTACGCTCAGTAGCTGGTTAGAGCTGGGCTTGGATGTCCACAGGGTGGACTAAGGCCCTTAGGGGATGCCGACAGGCACCGGGAGGGTACTGCTGCAGG